GCCCACCAATCAATTGGATCCATTGTCACGGCATCAGTTTGTGTTGCTGCCCTAGAGTAAATCCCTTTCTTCATATGAAAGGTTGCAAATTGTTCTCTTAATACCTTATCTTCATGAGCATCTTAAGCAATTCTTTGAAATGCATCCATAACACCAAGTACAACTTCTTTGTCATCGTTTGGTGCTTTTCTTGCAATGCCACCAGGAGCCAACTTCTCTAAGTAGTATTTATCATAAAATCTTGGATTTAAAGCAAAACCCAAACAATGAAGTGGGATTGTCATTTTCTCCCACCTATTTAAAACAATTCTTTGAACCTCAGAAAAAGAAGATGAGTACTTATTTTCCATCATAGCATCTTTGATTTCTCCTACCATGTTATCCATTTTTTCATAGATTTCTCCCATTTTTGAACCTTCCCCATCACAAAACTTCACCATCAGAAAAATGGGTTTTGTAAAAGCCAAAATATTCTCAACATCTTCCCAAAACACATCATCTTTAATCGTTTCAGTGACAATATATCCATCTGTTCGCATGTTTTCATCCCCACTTTTGACCCATTCCTGCCAAGAATTGAGGACTATTGTGGTGGAAAGTGCCTCCCTACAATCCATTAACCTTCTCAAAAGTATATAATGTGATGCAAACCGTGTTTTTGCCACCTTCAGTAACTCCAACTTTGAGTTTCCTCTAAAGAATGACAAGGCATGGGTATGGTTGAGAAAATATTTTACAATTGCCTTGCCTTTCTTATATGTGTTGAGCAGCCATGAGAACTTCTTTGCCATGTCTTTAAAAATCAGATTTAAGGTGTGCACACAACAAGGAGACCAAAAGATATGCTTATATACCTTCTCGATTTCCCTCCTGGCTGCTTTACAATTAGCCGCGTTATCAGTTACAACTTGCAAGACATTGCTTGGTCCAATGGTCTTGATGGCTCCAAGAAGAAACTTAGAAATCTCAACACCTGTTTTTTCCACCCCTAAAAAGTCCTCTGCATACATAAACATTGCACCACGTGAATTGACACCAAGAACATTGATTAGTGGGTTATGTTTAACATTAGACCACCCGTCCGAGACAACCGAGACTCCTTGTGTGTACCATGTGTCTTTAAAAGTTGTTAGCTCCTTCTCAACATCGCGTACACATTCATCAAGCANGTTTTTTCCACCCCTAAAAAGTCCTCTGCATACATAAACATTGCACCACGTGAATTGACACCAAGAACATTGATTAGTGGGTTATGTTTAACATTAGACCACCCGTCCGAGACAACCGAGACTCCTTGTGTGTACCATGTGTCTTTAAAAGTTGTTAGCTCCTTCTCAACATCGCGTACACATTCATCAAGCAATACAGTTCTCGCTTTTTCAGAAGACGGGGGTTTGTATCCTGCTGGTGCTTGCTGGATGGCACTAATCATTTCAAGAAATTGCGGGTTGCGTAACACATTGAATGGAATCCCGTTTGCACACAATCCTCGAATGATCTTCATATCCACAACATTTCTCTCCAACACGCCAAAGGATTCTTCAAGTCGTTTCTTTGAAGGTGCATTTTTGGAGAGTACTGAATTCCTTAAAGATTTTGAAACTCCAGAAGTTTCTGCTTCTTTTACCTTTTTCAAAAGCCTTTCATACATCTCCCGATTTTTACATATGGCTGGGCATCTTTTTATCTCAGCCTTCTTTCCCGAGGCAGGCCCAAAAAATGGACATGAATCCTTGTGTAAGTTCTAGTAAACTTGCCCTTACAATGATTACAAGTCCACTGTTTAGAACCTCCAGGATTCTTGCTATTTCCTATGATTCAAATAATAAAAAATAAATGGTTAAACAAAAGATATGAAATACTATTAAGGATTAACATATTTAGGGAAATTAAAAAAAATATTTTTAAAATTTAAAAAGCAATTTCATTCATTTTAGAAGAATAAGAAAAAAATGGTGTGAGTGTTTTATTCTCGAGTATAAAAAAAGAAAAAGTAATTTCTTTAAAAAAACAAAATCGTGTGAGTATGTAATTTTATTTTTAAAAAAAAAGAAAAGAAGAAAAAATTACCTGTACCAATGAAGGTAACTTCATCTAATAGGGGCTTGTTACTATCCTTCTCTTCAACATTGGTGGGAGCGTGACTTTGACTTGAACTCTCAAATTGTTCAACAGCTACAATTTCTTCATCAACATCAATATAATTTTGGGTGTTGCTAATCTGGGACTCACTGTTACTATCATCTTGAGAATTATGGGCTTTATAATTTTTGCCAAAAGCCATTGAAAAAAGAGAGAAAAAATTACTGCATATTGAGGACTTTAGATTGGGTTGTGGTTACTGGTTAGACTTGAGAGACATATATATATATATTTGGAGACTGCCTAGGAAAAAACAAAACATTAAAGGGAGAAATCAGAGAACAATCGAGTGCCCAGCACGCAGACTATGAACGACTCGCACGGAACTTGGGGAAGTGCAATCGTGAATTGACCTTTTCAATTTACGGAGAGAACAATCGCTTGGAAGAGGGGAGGTCGCGGGAGAGACGAAATTGCGATTTGGATTGCTGGACCGCCGGCGATTGGTACTCCATATTCTCCGACTTGGTGCGACGTTCTAGGGCATCTGGATCGCCGGCGAATTGCGAATTGGAACGCCGTACCACACCGATTTGGATCGCCGTACCGGTGGCGATCGGTTCGCCGGCGACTTGCGATCCGGTACGATTCGTACCAATTCGGAAATCGCGGCTAGATAAGCGAATTCTGTAACTATGGTCTAGCCCTTGAGTTTGAGAAACGGAATACACCTCTGCATTTCAAGACAAGTTCTATGGGATCAGTCCGGGGTGCTGGTTCAGATTCTACCATTGACCCAAACCGAGAGGTAAAAAACTTGTCCCAATCTCACTCGCCCCAGCTACATGCATTCTCAGGATCTTCAGGCTCAACACCAACCTTGTTGGTTTCAAGATTTAGTAGGGACGAGTCGTTGAAGCAGCAATGCAGGGATAAGGGACTTTGCTATCGGTGTGGCAATCCCTTTAGGCCGGGTCATCGTCGTTCGACTTCACCCACTACCTTCTCCTTGATGGAAGTTGATGAGGAAGGTCACCTGATGAATCCCAAACACGTTCCCATTGATGGGGAGGCAAAAGAGGAAGTGTCCTTTAATGCAATTCTGGGGACGCCAACGTTCGCCACAATGAAATTAAGTGGAAAAGTACATGGACAGGAAGTTTTCTTGTTAATTGCTAGCGGTTCGACACACAACTTCATCTCTGAAAAACTTGTGCAGCAACTTAAGCTACTTGTTTCCATTGTTCACACATTTGGGGTATAGATAGGAGACGGTTTTATTATTCAGTGAGATCAGATTTGCGAGTCTCTCAGTTAAGGTTCCAGGTTTGACTCTTTACAAAGATTTTTACCCATTTCCAATAGCTGGATCTGATATGGTTCTAGAAATCAAATGGTTAGCCTCTTTGGATATCATTCAAGCAAATTGGAATGAAATGTTTCTGATTTTTTGGGTTGATAGAAAGTGATATAAATTACAAGGCATCTCGAAAGTTGATCAAAGCCTTAGATTAAATTCAATGGTGTATCTTAAGTTGCAGTTAGGAGTAGAGGAAGAATCACCTCTGAATCTGAACGACTTAATGCAACACCAACATCCAGACTTCCACCTTGAGGACAAGATGTCTTTCAGAGAGGGGTGTAATGATAAGATCCGGATCACTGATAGCAGAAGGCCACCTTAATTATAATATTATGTGTGGGTTAATTAAGTTTGTTACTGTTTTATATCTATTAAATAAAAGGACTCTCAGGTTTCCATTTCCAACTACTCAAAATTCAGCAGAGCTGAAGAAGGAGAAGATAAAATTTGAAGTTTCCATTGTAGAATATGAAGCAATTAGATTATGAAATCACCTTAGCCGCAGCAGAGAGTTGCCCACAAGAGAAGTTGAGTCAAAGATCGAGAGAAGCTACGCTGAAGATTAAATGGAGAGAGAAACAAGTTCAGTTGTGTGCTGCAATGAAGAGAGAAGCTACACGCCTGCGCTGAAGTTGGAGAGGCGGGGATGTTCACCAAAGTTGGCAAAACCTCGTACAACTACCCTGACCTACTTTGGAAGCCAACACGCCGGAAAAGTTATTTGATAATCTCTCATCTCTTAAAACCTGACTCTCTAATGTGTGTGGGCCCTGCATATGTGAAACATGCTTGATTGACGAGGAACCCACATTGGTAATATGATCATTTGGGCTTTGGCCCTCCGAACTGATCAACACGAGTGCCTAATCATGGACCACTTCAGTCCTCTGTTGTAATCATCACTATAGTTTTTAGACTGTGTAATCAGTCCATGGGACTGACAATGCTGAAGTTGAAGGTTTTTAAGGGGGTCCAAGATTGTTTTTATTAAGAAACTGAGAAGGGATATCACAACTTCCAATTCGGGATTGCACAAACAATGCTAATGTTATTGTTATTACCCTTAGTCCAGAATATACCAGGGAAATGGGGAATTAAAAATGATCAAGAAAGATGAAAAACGGAAATCTTATTGTTTGGGAATCTTATTGTTCGCACAAACAATGCTAATGTTAGTGTTATTACCCTTAGTCCAGCATTACCAGGGAAATGGGGAATCAAGAATGATCAAGAAAAATGGAAAACAGAAATCTTATTGTTCTGGAATCATGTGCAACAAGAAAGTATGAAAACTTTTCAAATGTGTAGAATGTGCAAACCATCTAGAAGGCTTCTTGAAACCAAACATGTATGACCCTATTTATTGGTTATAGAACTGCCTTTGAGATTAGTGACCTGCTTTTTTTAACCTGGAAGATCTATCCACCATCAGGTAGAGTAAGGTCCTGGCAGAACCTTACCTTCTAGGCTTCTTCTACGATTACTTTCACTTAACAATAGGTAATGTGAAAAGACAGTGTAGAAAAGCACACACGTGGAGAAAACAATTAATTACCTGTCTAGCAGAGGCTTGAGATATCCATGATGGTAGTAAACAAGGTGTATTATTCAGGGCATCATAAGACGTCTCCTTTGCTTTTCCACAATCAACTACGAACACTATATCATTGATGGTAATACTTGCCTCGGCCATATTTGTAGCCAGTACAATTTTCCGAACATTTTGAGGAGGCCTCTCAAATATAAGTTTCTGTCGGAAAACAACATAAACAAAATAATACCGCAAGGCAATAGGGTACATTGTTTCAGGGGATCTACTACATGTGCATAAAAACCCAAGAGCCAAGACTTTGATAAACATGAAAGGAGAATAATTCCAAGGCAGCACTAGTGTGTTATTTACCATACACTTTGATATGGCCAATAAAATGTGATTTTTGGTTAGCAACAACAAAAATCTTACAAAATCATATCCCCTATATAAGTTAGTAATAATCCATACCTGCAACAGAAACAACATTTTCTGGAAAGAATAAAATTAAATATAAGTGAAATGATTGGAGCATTGTTGAAATAAACTTCCTTATTGTGGACATCATAATAGCAACAAGTCAAAGAGTTTCAAATAGGGTTGTAAATGAAGTGAACAGTTTTGATTCAATCCATGATTTGTATTCCTTTGTACAGATTCGTATTATAAATTTTTGAATCTGAATACAGAAAGTATTTGCTATTCATTATGTTAAGTGTTAACGAATATGAATACATAACTATTTGATTCAGTAATATTTGAATATATTTGAATAAATATCTATAATCACAATTTTAACTAAATAAATTATGTATATTAGTATTAACAGAAAAGGATGGTAGAAATTAAAAGGGGATAAAATATTTGTATAAAAAAATCGAGAGCCCGGTATTCGAATACTTTAAAATGAATCGAATATATCTCATTTCATAATCAAATCAAATACAAATATTAAAAAAATTGAACAACCTTAGTTTAAAAGCATATGCAATATTCTCGTCACAGTGCAATCTATAAGTGGGGCAGTTTTACCTGCTCTGAGGTTGCCATTGAGCCGTGGCATGGAAGCACAAATACCCTGTTGGGATCGCCCAATAGGGGATGAGCTTTAAGTTGGTCCCTCAAACAGCTAATATCTTCCCACCCAGTCATGAATACTAACACAGCTCCTGGTCTTTCCTTACGACATATATGACACAGCACAGCCTCAATCAGATTAAATCCAACAGAATCAGGAGACCAGCATGCCAGGGAATCCCGTGCCCTGGCACTATAGCTGTCAAAGTTTGATCTATTTAGAGCATCCTGAAATACGAAATGAATAAATAAGAAATATGTTTTCAACTACAGAGTTTCTAAATTTCCTTTTTTACACAAATAATTCTTCTGCTCATTTCCATCAAACCCATATTTTTTTCCCTCTATTTGCAGGAATATTATTTTTCAAATTAAGAGGAAAAGATGCAAGGATTTAACAGAAAATAGGGGCAGAATGATATGGGCAAAAGTAGAAGATTCGAATACATAAAACATATTAGAAGTAATTGCTTGAATAAAGTCATGGAAAAAAGTGGATCCATAATGGGGCAACCATAATGGAGTGTAAAAGAAAGGAGAATAATTCCAAGGCAGCACTAGTGTGTTATTTACCATACACTTTGATATGGCCAATAAAATGTGATTTTTGGTTAGCAACAACAAAAATCTTACAAAATCATATCCCCTATATAAGTTAGTAATAATCCATACCTGCAACAGAAACAACATTTTCTTGCTCATATCGTGCGCGCGCGCGCACACACACACACACACAACACACACGCACGCACGCACGCACGCACACACACACACACATACATACATATATATAAACACATGGAAACTAGGTTAAGGTGCCTACCCACCTCAACAAGCCCAGTAATCTGGTTTTTCTTTTTACGAGGTGCTAGCTGTTTCTGTGTTTTCCACATCTTATCTTGGCCATAGTCATCAATTTGATTGAATGAAGTCAGCTTATACCCAGTCATTTCCAATACATCTTCCAGAAAATGAACTCTTACCGGGTATGTGAAGCCCTACAATTTATGCATGCCCCATTAGCCAAAAACACATATGCATATATGCTCTATTTAGGTAGATCATTAAATAAATTAAAGTGAAGGGTAATCAAAA